CCGTCGTCTTATGGAACTAATGAAGGAAGCCGGACTCACCTGGAGCGTTTGACGCGCAAACACTGCTAGAATGCGTTCAAGATCAAGTGATTAAGGCAGGACGATCGCTGTTCGAAAAACTAATTCCTCTTACTGGAAAACGTTATGTGGCCGATCAGGCGATCACGCCGACCGCCGAAGCATACCAGACTGGATCGTCTCAGTATGCGTCAGCAGAATCAAAGTCACAGGCAGAAGATTCAGAGGAGTCGATCTGTATTCAACGGATGTCACTGGGACCGTCAGGCGCAGCATTCATTGGTGGACGAGCGGTGCCAATCAAGACTGAAGTGCGATCGACAGATGCGGCCATGGCTCAACAAGCGACTCCGATTGGATCAGGGCAGCTGAATTCATATTTCGAAGCCGCCATGAGAAAGTACAAGTCAGATCAACGGATCTTAGCCCAGCAAAGTGCTAATCGATCAAGGATCCAGACCACTCCTCAGGAAAGACATGTTCCAGATGTGGAGAGGGATTCGGTTGAATCGCGTCACATTCGATCAAGTAATTGCGATCCGCTTGATCTAGGACTTGAAGACCTAACCTAAAACGACCATTAATGGCAGCAGCATAAGATACGCCAAATGGTGGATTCTCTGCGCAGCGAATCCGGGTATCGGCGATCGCAGATCTGAAGGAGTTTAATGGACGAGACAGAGACGAAGATCGAGCCAGCGGCTGGATCAGTAAAGTCAAGTCTGCTTTCTTACGTGATCAATCTCCTGACGCGGAAAAGTGTCTCGTAATGTGTGATTTGCTAACGGGGCCAGCACGAAATTGGTATAGCCAGCTGAGCAGAACAACTCGCCATAATTGGAATTTCTATTGGAAAGTTTCATGATACAGTATGGAGGATATGGCGTATCCGTCGGAAGACAATATTACCACGCAAGGAAGCAGCCGAATGAGAATCCATTGTAATATCTTTATCGATTAAATGTGGCGGCAATACGAGCAAAGATCTTGATCCGAGAAGGAACACCGGCCACAAGACGAGAGCATGTGGAACACTTTAACGAGACATTAGATGATCGTGATTTGGCAAAGCAGTTGACTCTATTAAGGCTGGACGATGCTGACGACATGGAGGAAACTTTAAGTGCCTATCAACGCATGGAGAGTCGTCAAGGCAAAGCAACGATGGGATCAAGTAAATTTCGCCAGCAATCATCTCCTGTGCTCGATCAAGCATCATCGAAACCGACTCGTGCAGTGAGAGCGATCCATATCGGAAAGGGTAACAGTGGTTCAGGGTCGGAATCGTTTGGATCTGAAGTAGAAGTTGACCTACGTCGTATGTTTACAGCGGATACACCGGATCAAGCGGAGAAGTCATGATTATACCGTGATCGACAGAATGTGACCGATCAAGGCAAAAGTCATGTCACACTGACCCACCAAGAGCCTGCACTCATTGCGGATCGAAAAAACATGACGATCGTGGGTGTTGGAACGGTTGACCTGTCAGAAGTGGGCGCAAAGGAGATCCTTCAGACAAGTGTTCTTTCGTGTGTACTGCCTGTGGAGAGATGCACGAAGGAGGAAAATGCCCGATGGAGGAATTTTATAATCTGCTCGCCAATGGTACGTACCGACCAAACACGCTGGGATGCTCCCACCGAAGGCAGAGGAGATGTTAAACTTAGACGCTCACCAGGTTGGAATCTGGTACGAGCCGAGCGTTCTAGGCTCTGCATTTATGCATATGTTGAAGGAAAAAGGACAGATCAAGATGGTAATACACGAATCGAGCCGATAATAAATACATGTGATTTGGATTCTATGCATTCAATAGCGAGTTTGAGAAAAGTTGATGAATTTGCTCGATCGCCTAAGCAGATGGAGCTCAACCTAGCGCCAGGCGAGTCACGGGGGTATTGGAAATTGTGGCGAAGTGAAAGAGTGAATTTCGCCAAGTGTGATCGCATATTTTCGGTTAAGTCCGAAATGGCCAATATTAATGAGTCGCGATCTCGTGGCCATTAGCTAGATTATACAAACGATGGATATTACAAACACCAAATTGTTTGCATACTTTAGCCAGCATCCTATTACTAAACCTTTTCGAATTACCACGACAATATACCCACGTTGTGACGCGTGATTGGATCAATTCAATTAATGGGGTAGGTCGTTATAAAGTAATGGATAAATGATCTGGTAAGTCCTTTTAGTAATGGTGTAGCGGATCTGCACAGCTCCTTAGCCAGAGGAAGACTTTAGGCTGGAAGCCTCTTAGTTCTAGAGAACTAGCTAAAGTTGACGGCTAAAAGCCACTTAGTTCTAAGGAACTAATCAAACGACTTAAAAGTCATCCTCCTTCTAAGGAACGACGAAAGAGACCTTTAGTCAGTCAAGCAATAAGCTTAAGGTTCAGGGAACCAACCCTCAGAGTGCAAGAACAAGCTAGAAGCTTAAAGTTTCAGAGAACCAACGCACGAAGTGCACAAGAGAACAAGTCAGAACGACTTGCGATCTTAAACTCAAAATGAGAGCTGATTTTATCTATGCAATAAGTTTTTATGAATAGTCCTACTCTAAGTACACTACACTAGATCAATTACTATAATAGTAATTAATATATGCAGACTTTGCTATTGGACGACGTATCGTCTAAACATCTGTGTATGATGTACTTAGTACAGCGTTATCGATTATCGAATCCTAATAGAGAAGATACGTATTACCGGATACCGTATCTTTAGCGCTTATCCTTAATACCTCTATAAAGAGAAGTATCAAAATGCATTATATGCATTAAAAGGGAAACTTCAACCGTAAACTTTCGAAATGATGTTACAACCGTCGTGTAACCCCGTTACAAATGGTGTGGGTTAATTTAGCAATTTTTATTGATTCAGTAATAATAGGTCATATATATAATAATTTAATATCGTATTACATATATGTAAGATTTCAATTATCGAATTGCTAAAATTGACCCACCTTATTTCCTTTATTCCATAGCAAAATCATTTAAAAGAATAAATTCACTGGCTGGCCATGATATAAATCGAACGTTGTAAATATCTTCGTGTAGTATAAACAATATCCACATGTGCGGGCATTATGCCACTTAAGTTTGCAGATCCTACATCGTTGGCTTTCCGATTACAAATCAATTGCTTAAACAATATCACATTGGAAAGCATCTCAATTTAAAATTTTTGATGCACTTAAATTACAATCGAGCTGATACATATGTGCATGGTTTTTAACGTATTGGATATCGTCTGTCACGACCATCATTTAGCTGGTTCTCTTGAGGCTGGCTATAGCAAAACATTTTCCTCTCTAGTCACCATATCCGTTTTGGCCAGCCAGAGACATAATATTTATGATTAAAACAAATTGGTTAAATTAAATTAAGAATAATAATGCAATCTAAAAAGGGAATTGTAGTGGGTCGATCTACAGTAGCAATGGGGCTGGCCGGTTTCGCAATGTTTTTATACTACTACATTACCATATTAAATTCATATATATAAGCTAGATCAGAGGTAATTAAAATTAGCATTATATGGAAAAACCAATAAATGAATTTCTTTAATATCGTGGCCTAGTTTAACAAATAAGGCGTAAACTTTTTACCAAATGGTGGCTGCAAAAACTTCCAAAGTGGCTTCAGCGATATGATGTACAGCGAGTTGACTCATTTAAAGCTGCACAGGAGGAAAGAAAACTGCAAAGCGTGTAGAAAGTGGGTCGCCTTCTCAAAATTTACACTTCCTTGTTCCGAGAGTCCAGCACTATTTTTGGCCTTGTCCTGTCGTTACAATGTCAATATTGTGGTCACGATTCGAATAGCAGAAGCAATGATCTCATTGATTTACGTCACAATGGGATCAAAGTGGTACACGTCCAGTTCCTGAGGAGTTTTAATAGGAACTGCCCTTTTCGAGAGCCCATAAGTATGGATTTAGGTGAATGATACAGACTGGATCGGACATGATAGTGAAAACACCTTCCTACTTCATTATGATGATGTTTTCGTGCTTTTCAGTGGAATCAAAGCAAGCCATCTCAATTCATTTTACAGTGTATCGTGTTTATGTACGTGACAACGGAGCGTCAAAGTGGGATATGCTTCTCACATAGGCCGATATCACCGTGCACGTTTCTGGATGCGTCTTGTTTCTCTTCTTGCGTCCGCGCTCGGTCACGATCTTGGCCATCCTCGTCTCATCACGCCAACACATTAGCTTCTGTTCGTATTAACGACAATTGTACTTCGTTCCCTCCGGTCCATTATTTCTCTGAAATTTTTAGCCTCTTCCTGGCCGAAACTGTTATGGTCTATTCGGGCTCTTTACCAGCATTTCTAGCATCCGTACTCCGTGTCATTGGACGCTCACACTGCGGTTATCTTTTTCCTCCTACCATTTTGAGTCTTCATCCCAAACGACACTGAGAAACATCAGTTTCTGGACGACTAATGATCTGGCAAGAATCAACTTAGTCAGGCGTCAGCTACCAACACCTGGATCAACAGGCTTGCTTTAGGGGGCAAAGTGAACTCAGTTGATATACTGTTTAACGATATAATCCAGTGAAACATTTCCAAACCACAGACAAACGCATAAAGTTTATGCAACATAAGTACGTGATTTCTTGTGATATCGTCGGAGTTTTCCCGTTAATTAATCGCGCTTGCGCTTCTCGAAGCACCCGTTTGTTAGGAGGAGTGGTTTAAAGCTTGCGCGCGCGATAGATGCTGTTTTGGGCGACAATTGGTCACGGATACAAGCCTTTACAGTCCAGTCGAGCATTGCATCGGAATATACGCTCGGTCATCTTCGTAGTTTGATTTTGAGCTAGGCGCTTCAACCTTGAAGGCTTCGTCAAGATGCGAGTAGGTTGGGCTAAGTCTTTAGGATAACGAGTTTCGTTCAAGCTTATTTATATATAAAGACTGAAGACTTTGGCAAGTAATTTTAACCGATCCAATCTTGTACAAACTAGGAGCCCATGGAGCCGCTGCTGCTGCCTTGACTACCGCGGCTGCGTTTTCGGTGCGTTGCATTGTCACCGGCAGGTGGCGGACTTGACGTGTCAGATGTAAGCTCGGGCGGTACGTACGCCATCATTCGGATCCAACGACGGCGGCGTACCGACGCTCCCAAACGCTTCATACTTGACTTGCCACGAGCTAGGTGAAACTTAAATCGCGGGAAATCTGTGGCATAACTCCAGCCCTCGTCATCGCAATCCGTGTAACTCTTGTCAATCCGCCACGGAGTTGTCCAGCTCCAATTAGGAGGTAGCGAAACCTGCTCAAAGCTCATTGCCTTGTCACCATCTCGGTTTGAAAAGCGAGGGCGATCTGTAGGCAGCAAGTGATTGGGCGCCCACTTTCCAAACATGCTTACACGCTGGTTTTCAAAAATCTCCTCAAGTCCTACGCTTCCGTCGAGAGTACTGTTGTAGCGCACAACACTTGGTCGCCGGCTAGAAACGACCCCTGCGGATAAACTCCTCTGCGGTCGGCCACGCGTACTATTTTCGTGCTCAGCACCAGAAAAGTGGTAGACATCTCCAGATGTAGCTTTTGGTTCTTCCGCATCCAATGCTTTTTTGAGCCCCTCAAAGACCATCTTTGTACTTTTAACAACACCCTCTTTTGTGGCGGACATGATCTTCGACTTAAACATTGTGCTTTTTGAAAACGGGACTCCGACATACACCTTAGCAACCATTGGGGACCCGATAGCATCCGTGCACGGCTCTATCGCATACACCGTCTCGACGTGAAAACAATCCCCATAAGGAATTTCAAGCAGTGTTAACTTGTGTTCGATCACGAGTCGATCTGCATCCAAGCTGTCACGGTCCTGAGACGAGAAAGGGACATGCACAATCTGTTCTGCCATCGTCGAAGAAGGTCCAAGCGGTGACGTACTTTTGGCACGGTATTTTATCTCACGCACCTGGCCACCATACTCTTTCGAATCCTCCCACTTGCTGACTACATGATCCGTATCTCCTGCTTCGTTAAAAATATTTTGCCATCGCGACAACGTATTGTCGGCGTAAAATAGGTCAAAAAAGTGTAAAGCGTTTTTTATAGCCGGGTGCAGTTCATACTCACCCACCACCTGCCTTTCCTCGTCGCTGGATATCAAAAATGGATTACGTGGTGCTCCAGCGAGACCTGTGCCAAAATTCTCCATCGAGCGGTTCACCATGTGGAAATACAACCGCGATGAACTACTCATCGCCTCGCGTGTTGCCGAAATGATCTTTGACTTAAACATACACCCCTTCGAAAATGGCACACCCAAGTAAATCTTGGCTACTAGCTGCCCTGCGCTTCCATCGTTAGATTGGACATGTTCCACTACCGTGACCTTTTCGACCGAGAAACAGTCGCCATAAGGAATATCGTGCATGACAACCTTTGATTGCATGATGAGCTTCTCGTTGGCATCAATGCCACCCTCGTCAAAAGGAACGTGTTCAGTCGTGGTTGTCATGGTGTGAGAGGGACCAATGGATGCATTCGTAGGTGAGCGGCAACTTATTGTGCGCACTTGGCCACCAAACTCCTTCGATGAAATCCAGTCACCAACTTCGATCTCTGTATCACCACGCTCCTTGTAGTACTCGTTCAAGCGGTCCGACGTGCCGTTTGCTAGAAAATTTTGGAAAAAATCGTAGCTGCTTCTTAGATTCGTGTGGAGCAGGTATTCGCCTACCTGTTCGCGTTCATCAGTAGACGTCACCAAAAATTGTATAAGCTCTGCACTACCTGCATTGTCCACGGAGTATTTCAGCGAAAGCATAAGCTGACCAACGATAGTATCACATGTAGACGTGACGGGCCATGCACATGTAATTTGCGCAGTTTGCATGCCTGTAAAGCCCAGCAGTTCGCGAAGACACAAAGAGACTTCGCCAATTTTCGTGGTGAGGTAGCGCAGATGGATCTCGTATACGTGTAGCACCATAATATCAGGTAGGCCACAAAAAGCGCCGGACATTGCCCCCAGCGAGCGGCACTCTAAGCAATCCGAGCACAAGTGGTCTTGAAAGTGCCATGTCAGCTTTTCATTCCAATTAACCGCAGCTCCTTTCTCACCCTTCTCACCCCTCGGCTTAGGAGAAGTCTGTCCCACGGGTACGCCCGAGTAGTCATGAAGCTCGGATTTAAACTTGGCCACCACATAAAATTGGCGCAGCGATGCATCCTTCTCGTAGCTCATATCCTGCACTACTAGCTCCACAGCGTGTGATTTCAGCCGCACAGGAGAAACTTCGACATCGTCTCCAGTACCGCTCAGCAAATTTTGCGCATTGAAACCATTTTCGTTCGAGTCGGAAAACGAATGCAGTTTTGCCGCCGTCGAGAGCGAAGTAGTAGCAGAGCTATTCGCTGCCAATACTGCCTGGTGGGAAGCCACCGCTGCACTTAGCACACTGTCGATGCGTCCTGGTACGTGGCCCTGGATGGCGCGCATCGTCAATACACACAGCCACGAGCGCGTAGCCATGTCGTCCTCCGCCCTAAAAAAGTATGTACCACCTAGTGTGCCTTTAACCTCAATTGTATTGGAGCCAAACTCAAAGGGATTGGCGGGCTTGACAGCGTGCACGGCAAGCAATCCCTTAACGTTCGTATTGCGTCTTGCTGCGTCTGCATTCGGGTAATATTTAATCCTCGCGTGTGCATCCAGAACAACAAAGCGTTTCTTCCACTGTTTGCCGCGTTGTAGACCTTTTTTTACCAATAACCATCCGTCCAGCGATGCATCGCCAAGCTCCATAAGGCTCTCCACAAATTCCTGTTTGTTAGCGACCGTGTCGGCGAAGAAAGGCATCGAGTAGTACGTGGATCGGCGCGGTAGTCGCGTGTGCGTGTCACGCTCCAAGCGGTCGCGTACGCTGGTCGTTTTCTTAACGGGATGTCTGTCCTGAGTTTTCCGGCTGCGCAAAGCACCAGTACTGGTAGTAAGACTGTTGGACTTGGATCTCTGTGTTAACATGGGAAATACAATAAACAGCATGCGGATGAGCACGACGCAAAGCGCAATTCCTACAATCACCATCATGAATAAGTCGGGGAACGTGTGTGCCTTGCCACCCAATGGATCGCTTAGGGGGGCGCAAGTAGCAGTCTCCATGGCGAGTCTTTACGCCTTCTTCGAGCTTTGGTCTTTACAAACAGATTCAAATCTGAGAGGGTTTATGCGCGCGGTGTTACGCCGTTTGTACGTAGCTTTGCGGACTTTGAGTTCTTTTTTTGCACGCAGGCGTGACCCAATCAACCGCATGCTTATGCTGTACACGAAGCTGCCGTAATCATGTCGTGCTTCTATGAAAGGTTGATCTCGAGGCATTTTTTGTTTGCTAATCAATTACCCACCCAAATTTTATAATGTGATGTCGTTAATAATCATCTCCACAAAAACCACAATAAAACAGCCTTGCATCACTTCCTCAGATTGCCTCTGCTTTCCCTGGAACAAGCTGGAGCTGCATTTCAATGCCCATGCACAACAGGAAGTGTTAGAAGCTATTGTTGTTGATAGGCCGTGAAGGTCAAGGGCAATACCCTGTTACGCGGTAAGTAACAACCGTACCTGATTGACTAAACAGATTTGACGTGCTGACAGATGGGACGAGGCGACGATATCGCCACGTCGGACCATCAGGATGTTGCGACATATGGGACGAGGCGACGAGATTACCACATCGTCTTGTCGATGTCGTAACAGATGGGACGGAGCGGGATAGACGTGAACTATAGATGGTATAGTTGCAGTCGGTTTCGCATGCATGTGTAGGTATTAATGAACGAGGAAAGTTAATGCTTAATATATTTTACTTTTACTTCTACCTCTACGTGCACAAGTGCACCACTACTTCACTTCATTCTAACAGGTTATGAGCCCAACGGAACGTGTTGTGGGCAAGCCCAAACAGGCTATGCCTAACGTGGCAGTCGGCGACCCTAATCGGGTTAACGACGACCACCTCGAAGAAAAGTCGGCAGTGCCTGATGCGGCACTGGGCAAGGTGCTTGCCATGCTCGGAGACCTATCTGATCGGCTAAATCGGATGGAGGTCTCCCAGAAGGAGCATGCCGGTGGACACCGGAAGGACTCTGCGGAGTCAAGCGTCTTTGGTTCAGCTCTGGGAGCGGGTGGAGGGATGAACATCCAGGCTTTGGAACTTACCCCTCCCCGGAAGAGGTCACCGAACGACGTATCGCCGGCTACGTACTTTGGAGACAGGCGACACTACGAAGCTGATGATGCAAATCATCGAGCAGGCCATGTTGCAGTAGACCGCAACATGGGACAAGCACCGGAACCTGCACATTTTATGGCAGGGGTGCCAGGCTATTCACCGGCGCGGGTATGCCGAACGTGATGCATGCCAACCTGGGACAACAGGTTGTGGGGATGCCAGACGCGCAACATCGGAAGCTTGCACTACAAGCTTTTGATGGGAAGGAATTATACCATGGCCTTGGTAGTGGTTTCCTCGGATGGGGCAAGGAATTTGTGCGTTAAGTTGGTTTTGCCGAGCGTGCGTGTGGATTCACGTGGCCGGAAGACATCAAGGTGGATGTCTTAGGACAACACCTGGCCGGTAAGGCACAGACGTACTATCGTCGTCAAGTGGAGACTTGGTGGTGTGAAAGTCAAACCCTGGAGCATGCTATGCAAAGACTGCTTCAGACCTTCAGCACTAAAATCACGCCTGCCCAAAGCATGAAATTGTTTACGGCTCCCAAGGCACCTCACAGAAGTTGGACGGACCATTTCCTGTACCTGACGGCAGTCAGTGATGCTTGCGGAGGGGCAGATACCCTGGTGTTGGATAACATCGTCCATTATGCAGACCCGCATATGCGAATGACCATGATGTCCAGGCTGGACATTCATCGAACCGACTGCTTGCGCCAAGCCGAGGAATTGGCACAGTTCGCCCAGTCAACGGAGATTGACAACCACGCGAAGCATCTCGGACGTGACGTGGTCAATGCTGTTGAACCAAGGAAGGAGTCAAGAGACAAGGTCAAGCACAAGGTACTGAAGGAATCGAATGACAATGACCAACGAACGTGTTACAGATGCGGCGAGGTGGGACATATCAAATCGATGTGCCCCAAGAGACAGATGTCCAAAGTCCCAAGACCAAGTTTCACATTTGCGATCGACAATGGTGATCGTCTCCAAGACAATCACTGGATCCTCGACAGTGGGTCGAGCAGACACCTTGTCAACGACTTGTCTCTGCTCGTCAACCCGAGCGACTGTCGAAACGAATGCTTGACAGCTGCAACAGATGGAGGTGTGCTCCGGATTACCAAGCAAGGGATTGTCAACATTGAAGTTATTGCACTCGGGGTTGTGAATTCCATCCAACTTCTCGATGTACAGTACGCCGCGAACCTCGAGCGAAACATCATCTCGTATGGTAAGCTCGAGGCTAAGGGATGTGTACTTGAGTACCGAGGAGAGAGACGTGTGTTAACCTCTGGTTTTGGAGGTGCACCGGTTATGGATGTGGAGTGCAATAACAATGTGCTAGTTGTTGCAGTGACAGGACCATGCAACAAGACCTCACATTTACCACCAAGGGAGATGACGGTTGCGATCAATTCACCTGAATATAACTCCGATTCGGATGTTCAGAGTGGTACCTTGATGCAATTCCATCGTCGCTTGGGTCACCTGTGTTACGAAACGATCATCAAGATGGCCAAAGACCCGGCATCTGGTATCAGGCTGACTGACACGAGGAGCATGAATTGCTTGGCCTGTGCACAAGGCAAGCAAACCAAAGCATCACAGTCAAGAAAAGACTCAGGCCAAAATTCTCCCATAGATGTGATCGGTGGAGTAATTTGCTCCGACCTCAAGGGCCCAATGACTCCAAGGGATCGTCTGTATCACCGTTACCTGGTCAATTTCATTGACCACAGGTCAAATTATTGCCGTGTATTCTTGGCCAGATCCAAGGATGTTGCTGCCCTCAAGTTCAAGCACTTCCTGATGAGCTTTGAACGAGAGTTCAATTGCAATATCCACGTACTACGCACGGACGGAGGTGGCGAATACAAGACCTTGGACGTGTTTTGTAAGACGAATGGAGTCTCGCGTCAAGTCAGTGAAGCCAGAAATCAGGCAAGTAACGGCAAAGCTGAACGGATGCATCGGACAATTATGAATATGGTCCGAAGCATGGTTTTTGCTTCAAACCTGTCTTTGCATTTCTGGGGCGACGCTGCTGAGTATGCAACTTACATTCTCAACAGAAGCAGGACCAAGTCGAATCCAGGTGGGGTGTCTCCGATGGAATTTTTGACCACGAAGGTGCCAAACCTGAACAACATCGTGGCGTTCGGCTCCACGTGCACGGTGCACGTGGATGCAAGGAACAAATCACTTGGAGAGCGAGGGAAGGCGGCCATCATAATTGGAAAGAGTGATGAGACTAAGGGGTACAAAGTGTACATCCCCAAGGACAAGGTGGTCGTGGTAACGCAGCACGTACGCAACATCGAAACACTGTCGGATGGGCGTAACGGTCAAGACTACTCGTACACCGAAAGGATTGAACATCAGGAGGAGATATCAACCGGTGATCAACAGAAGGTTCAAGTACTTTCAAGTGTCAAGAAACGGGCGGCGAAAGCTCGAAGTGGCCGTAAGCCCGGATGGACTAGGGAACGACACGGCACAAGGTCAACGAGCAGACGTGCTAAGAAAGTTGTTGGTGAAGGCCCTGCTGAACGACAGGATGTCGTGAATGCAGTCATCGCTCAAGATCCAAAGCACTATGGCGAAGCCATGCGAAGTGGTGATCGCCAGAAATGGACCACGGCTATGACTGAAGAGTTGGATGCTCTGAAGTCAAACGGTGTGTGGACGATTGTACTACCACCGAAAGGTGCACACGTCTTGCACAACAAGTGGGTCTATAAGACCAAGACTGATGCAAACGGGGACGTGGAGAGGTACAAGGCTCGCCTGGTGGTCTGTGGGAACGAGCAAGTGTTTGGTGTCGATTATACCCTAACGTTTGCTGCCGTCATGGATTTGGCAACGGTAAAGTTGATTTTGGTGCTCTCCAGGCGTTGGAACGTGCCTGCCCGACATGGTGACGTTCCCAATGCCTACGTCAAGGCTGAAAAGGAGGAGCACCTTGACATCTATATGAAGGTGCCCAAGGGCATGGTTTTGAGTGACCAAGAGCTTAAGTTGCATGGCGTGGAAACATCAAGTGACCTGGTCCTCCTGTTGAAGAAGTCACTGTACGGCCTCAAGCAAGCTGGAAGGCTTTGGAGTAAATTACTTGATTTAAAGCTACGTCAAGGTGGTTTCCAACAATGCACCACGGATATGTGCTTGTACTACAAGTACAAGGGTGAGACGTGCACGGTGGTTGGCGTCTACGTGGACGACCTATTGGTCACAGGGACTGAGCAAGGGGCCGTGGATGAATTTTTCATGGAGATGAGCTCGCTGTCCATCAAGGACCTAGGCGCCGTCAACAAGTTTCTTGGATTACGAATCAATTTGAACGACGAGACAGGATACGTTCTGGACCAAGAAGTCATGATCGACTTACTGTTAAAGGAGTTCGGACTGGATTCAGCTAATGGGGTGAGGACCCCAATCGGGGACGAGTGCAATGCAGAAGACGAGGACACTGTGGAATACCTATCTGCGAAGGGTGCAAAGGGCGAACCAAGTGTAAAGTCGTTCCAGTCGCTGGTTGGGAGCCTGTTGTGGATAGCAAGGTGCACGCGTCCTGATATCTGCTTTGCTGTTCACAAGGCAACTAGGCAGACACACAAGCCAACGACAAAGGACTGGAAGATCGCAAAACGTATTTCAAGATACTTGAAGATATTGAAGGGCTTGAAGTTGCACCTCAATGGTGTCGGACCTACATCCAATGATGTCCGGGTCGAATGTTGGAGCGACGCCGATTTCGCTGCCGACAAGTCTAATCGCAAGTCAGTCTCCAGGTGTGTCCTCACTATGGACGGATCCGTCGTGATGTGGACGTGCAAGAAGCAATCCGGGGTGTCGTTGAGCACGATGGAAGCGGAATTCATCTCAGCGTCACAAGCGGGACGTGAATTGCTGGGCCTACGGGAACTACTCGGCGAATTGAAGCTGAAGATAAGCGAGCCCATGCCGATGCGGGTTGACAACCAAGCGGCAATCGAGCAACTCGAGTCCAAGAAGAGTACCTCAAGCGCGAAGAATGTGGACATCCGTTTCAAGTTCATACTCCATCATGTGCGTGAAGGTGTCGTGCAACCAAGATTTATCAAGTCTGAGGACATGATGGCGGACATATTGACCAAGGCGTTACCGGCACCAAGAATGGAAGACCTGCGAGCGATGTTCAAGTTGAAGACCATCCAGGATGCGGTTGAGGAGGAGTGTTAGAAGCTATTGTTGTTGATAGGCCGTGAAGGTCAAGGGCAATACCCTGTTACGCGGTAATTAACAACCGTACCTGATTGACTAAACAGATTTGACGTGCTGACAGATGGGACGAGGCGACGATATCGCCACGTCGGACCATCAGGATGTTGCGACATATGGGACGAGGCGACGAGATTACCACATCGTCTTGTCGATGTCGTAACAGATGGGACGGAGCGGGATAGACGTGAACTATAGATGGTATAGTTGCAGTCGGTTTCGCATGCATGTGTAGGTATTAACGAACGAGGAAAGTTAATGCTTAATATATTTTACTTTTACTTCTACCTCTACGTGCACAAGTGCACCACTACTTCACTTCATTCTAACAGGAAGATAATGATATTTTACCATCATTAGGAAGCTCATGATGTTGTACCATCATTAGGAAGCTTATGATGTTGTACCATCATTAGGAAGCTTATGATGTTGTATTCAAACACACAAGAAGGATCGGCAACAGGAAAGACGAAGCTGTAATTCTTGTCTGCTCCCAATCAAATTCCTCAAACGTACAGGTGCAGGATGGTTCAGTCGTAGCACTGGATGCTTGTTCAAGGTCAGTATACGGCGACTTGAAGCTAGAGGATGGCAGGTACAAGTTGGGTGGGTGATAAAAAATCCCTCCCTTTGGTTTTTCAATAGCAGTTCATAAGTCGGCAGCGAAGGCAAATTTTAGGCAATCTCAGTGGCAGAGTCTACACAACATCAGCGGATGACCCCTGCTCAAGCTATCTCTTTACATGTACATGTATCGAATACATATATCGTATAAATTCTGTTGTTCAAGAAATCTTCGTGGTGCAACATATTTTTGTAATGTTCGGTACGTTGAACTTTAATTGCGGCAGAACAAATGTAGTGAAAGCTGGTTCGACATGGTGCTGCAAGAAGAGGGATCATTAGTAAATACCATTGAAATTACCCAAAAAGATTATCAAACAGTTTGTGTCAGAATATATTACCCCTTAAGGTCTAATTTGAAGTATTACCAATTTATTTTCATTTCAGCGACGATAAAACTTGCTGGGCCTCGACGAGTAACATGCGGCGCGACGCCTTCCGTGAACGCCTGTTCTTCTTGCTGGTGCTGGCTGGTGCATTGCTTCTTCTGTCAGGACTCATGCTACGCCAAGAAAGCGCTGCGCTATCCACGCGCACGTTTCGCGACGGCTTCATCGTGGCCAAGGACGTCATGCGGCGGCGTACCGAGATCGTCGTCACCAGCAACGCAAGCAGCGGGAGCGCAACGAAGCTGCCGCCTACTGAGGACTTAATCGATGATGATACGGTGGATATACGGACAATGACTGTCAAGACGGAGGATGGCGACGAGATTACCATTAAACGGCCTGCCACGTCTAAGGGCAACAAAGTCACGACTATCTTTCGCGACGAGAAGGGAAAGCTCACAATCGAGGATACTCCTGCCGAGGAAATACAGAGGGAGGAAACATATATTGAAGCTGAAAAACGAGAGGAACATAACACACTCGACAATATTAACCATCTCCACCCCGAGCGCCAGTCGCCAGGGGTTGAGACACAATTATAAGTGACAAGGCAACCTAAGACACAAACGGAAGTTTAGACTATAGACCTGATTTCTGGAGAAACAGTTTGCCAAGACCTATAATGCTAGTACTTAGCGTCTGCACATGCTCCAGAAGTGGCGGCAGTTTCTCCGGATCGAAGCACGAGATCAGTGTGAGCGCGAAGTCATGCACCGACATGGTCTGCTGCTTCGCCAGCGGATTTACCGTCGCATATAGATCGAATGCAGCCCTCAGGATTTGCTTGTGAAGTGCATCTAGTATCTTCTCAAGATCCTTGGCTGATATTGTTTTGCTAAAGCGCCCATATATTAATTTTAGAAATCGTGGCAGTGTGTCCGCCGCAGATATCGACACCTCGTCTGTTACTTCTCGGACGTCAATCGTTCACAGCAGGCTTTCAATCACAGCGCAGAGCTCCGACTTGTCTACAGACCCATCGCCATCCAGATTGAACATGCAAAATGCCACATCCAAAGTTCCTTTGGAACTGATAACAACAACAAGTGCAACGAAAGTAGTTATTCATCAGCACACATTTCCAATCCAAACAGAAGACAAAAACACGTACTCTGATGCAAATGGTTGAGTAGATAGCACTCCTTGTACGTGACAAGTTCGTCGGCTTTTCCAACAAAGTTACAGGAGCAAACCCGGTCGCTGATGATGAGCATAAGTCAATCATTCTATACACAAGTAAGTTGCAATTGTTGTATACACAAGTTAATTGCAACTGTTGTATAATCCAAAGCAGTCCGCAAACTTACAGACGAGTGCAGACAAAATTGTGGCAGCACGAACGAGTGCAACAAGCCGGTAACGATCATGGTTTTAACGCATTGCCCATTGGTTTCCTCCATGCTTTCACTTGCGTACATGTCGAACCTTGAACGGAGTACTTTGATTTCCTCTCGACACTTTTTGTAATCCTCCAGATGCGTCTTCATCTAGTCCTCCTCCTGCATCTTGGTCTGATGTTTGCTTCGCTGCTTAAGTAACAGACGGCGTCCTCCCATGAGCCTCGCACTCATCTCCTCGCTCTCTTTAACTACCGCCCCAACCCCAACTGTTTACCTTCTGCGTACATCTCCATCGACTGTTACAGCGCAAACGGTAAGCGCCATCGTCGCCATCCCGAGCGTCGTCACAGTGTTCGTATAGCGTCTGATTCGACGTGCATCAAGGCGCATCAACACATTAAAGGCCGTTGTCTCATTGGATGTTCGAATGAAATACCTTCCATATTATGTCAAAATCTGGTCCATTGTCTCAGATCACAATTAGCTCAGCATTTAGGTCTTGGCCGTTTTGTTTCTCTTGCAAAATGGAAATAGGTTTCAAACGTCGGATCAACGGTTGTCGAATGTCTCCTACGACTGGCGGCAATTGTCGTCCAGATCGACAATACTTCATTCCTTCACAGGTCGAACGCACAACTGATGCAGCATACGTTTCGATCATTTTCGTCCGCATCTACGCGGACGCCAGCACGATCGACCCGCAGCTCCTCGTGCCGGTCACATGCTCGTAGTGCTGCCAGTATCGACAGCACCAGCTCCGTGACTGCAGAAGTGGCTCCCATCAGTAGCTCTAGCACAGTCACGCTTGCCAGCGGCTCCTTCGACAACTTTGACTCTGTGAAGGACGAAAGACCTAAGTCAACGGCCGGGCAACGACTCAGCACTTCACCAGTCGAGCCAGCGTTGCCCGGCAAATGTGTGGACTTGTCTGCTTACTACACATTTTCTAAGAAGAATAGCAAGATCATATACGACGAATCACAAGGACTGTCGGGGTTTTTGGACTATCGAAAGCTGAATGGAACTTGGCGACCGTTTCTGTTCCAGACCATTGGTCATCAACTGATGCTCTACCGAGTTCACGTATGTATATGATACAATACGCTGTGCAATGTGTACATACTGAGACTTTATGGTATTGATATCGTACAGTCCACGCATCAGGTGCTGGTCATGTCTACAGATATCCGCAGTGCCTTTCAGATCGCGCTGGAGTATGACGGGGCTAACGGTGAGTCTTTATCTTCCTCTCAGTCTTTCAAGGCCGATTACATTTTCTCACACACACCTTCATAGGTCAGGAAAATACTAGACTGTTGCGACTTGGAATCAACGGTACGATGATTATATTGCGTGCGGTGACACATAGAGCTGCAATGTACTGGGTTGACGTACGTGCTGCCAAAATATTGCTATTGTTGATGTGTTTATACTAGCAGCTGACTAGATCATTGGTTTTGTTTCAACAGGGGCTGCAGCGCCTCCGAGATGGCAAACCATTACAATTGATTAGTGACCCAACCTGCTCAGGTAATTTTGTTGTTGTGCTGTTGTCCAGAAAACAATTATTACTAACCAGTGGTATAGTAGAAGAGTCGAAAGAAGATTTATTCGTTGAAATCGACAAGTTGTTCTCGCAACGTGAATGTACACCACCTCCACCTTCCACTCCACTGTGTGGCCTCTGCATTTCAACTCAAACACCCGAGCATCCGGCTACCGGTATGCTACTGAAAAGAAAGGTATGGATCAACCTCGTTTCCTACGCATTGATAGCTCAAAGCCTGACCCTGCTGCCGTTTTCATCAGACAAAGCCGGACGATGGAGTTTCGTCTGACTGCAAGATCTGCTGATCCTGTTAAAGTAACCAGGGTTATAATTTGCTGGAGCGGCAAGTTTTAATGGGGTTTACTGGTCATCTGATGATAGCGCGTTTCCTCGCCCCTCGGCGGACAATTATCAACTTAATATTACCATTAGCGGCCTTTCAATTGTGCACTCATTTTCGACAGCTAACATCATACTATTCATTTAGAAAAATTAACATATGCCGTCGCTGTCCTTCTATTTTATCACACCTACTTTTGGTCCCAAGGTTTTTTCTTCTGAAGTAGCGTTTATTTTATAATTAATTCACTAAATACAGTACTAACGCCATAGTATAGCTGATCTTAATGCGTGAGGTGTTTGAAGCCTTCCTAACGGATCCGATCCGTGTGAACGAAGACGTTTATACGCTGTGGCTGGAAGGACACAATGCCAGAGACTCATTGGCCGCTCGTCTGCGTCTTCCGTCGTCCGTGCAAATGCCGTTTATGACCGAGAACGCGGTCGCTAAGCAGCGCGAACTGGTCTGGAGGGACACGGTTGACCAGTATCGTCTTTACGATAAACTGGAGCACTACCTGTCACAACCGAGCCTCTTCCGCTCTCAGCTACTTTTTCAGATCCCACCAGCGCAACAATACTACATGGTAGAACGCTACTACGCGCGGGACGCCGACGTGGACCGCTGGTTGCTGGGCAAAAAGCTCTCTGGACAACTGGAGAAGGACTTGGACGATGTGGCAGAGCATTCTGGTCGTACATTCAAGAGCTGTCGTCGACATTTGGAGAATCTTCGAAAGGTCTACGCTGCTGTGGAAGAACCCAACTTTCATGGCCTCCCATGTCGCACCGTCAGCGAGCACTTCCTGCTGTCAGAGCAGCTTGCTAGCAAGTACGCGTGTCTACTTTTTATTTTGCACACGAGGTTCCAAGTGCACCCTCACCACCCTGATGCAGGTTTTTTGACGTGGTCCGATCTGCGCTTTTTCGCTGTATTGCTCATGACGCATTGGCTTCCGCAACGAAAGAGACTGCCGAAGCTCATGTTCCCTAATAGTCCCATCCCTAAGTACGTAGCTGAAGACACTGTGGTTGAGAATGGTGCCCAGATCGCGCTGCGCTCTCCGAGCACCGGGGACTGGCCAGCAATTATTTTTTTGCAGGAGAGGCTGCAGCCTACGAGCGTGTGGGAGACGGTTGGGCTGGATCTATGTCATTTCTTGACTAACTGTCTGCGCGATCTCAAAGTCCATCTCATCAATGACGATGATGTCCTCAGAGTGTTCAACGAAAAAGTTCTGACGAGGTTGCGGTCATCGACTGCGGCAGAAGGAATGCTACGTGAAAACGCTAGCAGCTTAGACGAGTTGGAGAGCAAGTTGTATCTAATTATACATGGGCTTTTAACCATTGGCGCTGGCCTGTCTCAGCCTAAGGAATTTCAACACCTACTGGAGCACTTGCTGACTCGAGTGGTACACGTTTTGCACGACTGCAAAATCACGAAGCTACAGCTTGATGCGCTCTTCAGCGCTTTAGTAGATGCGCTACCCGAGCTGGATGTGTGGTATCTCAATGGCCAGGAAACGCGTAGTTCACTGCTCGCTAGTTGGCACCGCTTTATCAGTGTTTGTCGAGTCGTTGTACTGACGGTCTACGACCGCTGCCACCCTTCTACGATCTCCACGACGCGCCAGCAAGTAATGTATAGTGCTGGATTAGAGCAGACGGCTACTAACGTTTCAGCGAAGCACAACCGGATGGCAAACGCATTCGAATCGCAGGCTCGTCAGTAGTATTTGAGCAGCTCTTAGTAAGAACCTTATAATTGTTGGGCAAAAACTCCCATTGCTGCTGCTTTCATTCGAATGAGGCTTTTGCAGCTTAAGACAAGATCTGTTTCTCTTTCCGTGCTATTAAGAAAGCGTAATGTGGTCGTTACTCTTCGACACGTCGGTGCTATCGTTCCTGGGGGCCCGGAACGCGCGCACTTTGGCGGACTTCCACAGATCCGTTTTGTTTTGCGCGATGGCTTGCGTCTTAGGAGTGGTTGCTAAGCCTCGCAGCCATGTCATTAGAATTTGTCCGGATGCGGAAGTTAGTTCTCGAGCTGCGGCATACAAGATGCCACAATCGAAATTCATTCCACACACTGCGGCTGACATCATCTACCTAATACGGGTTCGAGAAGATATTGCAGCGAAACTAATGTTAAGGCGCGGTGATTCCGGATGGCAGCAGCTGCAGTTGCCTACGTAAACCCGGCAGCGCCAGAAGACATTACACGGTAAGTGATGCCGCTGTGATGCAGCGGTCCGTAGAGTCGTCAACAGGAAGGCAATAAGAGCTTCATAGAAATGCAGGAGCAGGCGAGGGTTCCTGTTGTAGAAATTACGGATTATAGCATCTAACGCCTTAAGAAAGAGCCGACAGCAAACAGCATCGCCTTGTGCTAGTAGAAGTAGCAGTAAGACAGAAACAGGCGACTGGATTGATAGTGCACGTAAGTCAGCCGTAAGAGGAGTGAGAGAGAGGCTACATATATGGCGTCAAGTTCGCACAAGAAGTGCAGCTCATGCAACACCGGTAGTGCTCAGCGTAGGCACTGACGTCTCCACTATGACTGGGTATTCGCTCGCTTGACTTAGCGGAGTGGCACGTGACTGTTTTGGGGACTGGTGGCTGAGACTAGATATTGTACGTACACAAGTAGATGCATGGATTTTGTGGTGGCAGCACATTTCGCTCCCGTAAAAAGAACTGGAAACGATGTGATCTGGTACGATATGTATGCACGAGGAGATACTACCCCTGCATTAGCTTAAAAGCTATTATCATTTCTGACGTCGTCTTTCTAGTGAGCCAGGATTTAAACTACAGCTGCCGCTATTCTGTTTGCATCCAGACTTGGATGTCGTGCATCGACTCATTTTGCAAGACGAGACGCTGATACACCATGTTAAGTGGGCGCAAATAAACCATGTCTGGGTCAAAAGTGTAAGCATTGAAAGCTGATTATGTATGTAGCTCATATTGCAAGCCGAATGGAAAAAGTTTCATTGTCTGCCCTGTAAAATGATTAGCAAGACGAGCGATATTGCGCAATAGCATCAGCTATATGGCTATAACTCAATACTAACGCAAAGTACTACGATTAACCAGAATATCATTACGAGGTGGAGAAAGCGCTACGTAAATACTGTAACACCGCCCAGTGGGGGAAAAATGATAATCACGTAGCCAAAGCATCTTGGGGCAACGCGCAGCGTCGCTGAAGGTCACGTGCTATCAAGTCTGTGCGGATTCCCGCATTCAATAGTCCCGTAGACGCTGAATACCCAGTCTCGGAGGATCCGGCGCGATGTAGTGCCACGACAGTATTATCTTTGCGACTCAAAACGGGTGAACCAGACGAACCAGGCTCCGTGTCAGCATTGTACCAGACAGTCGGCTCGATGTCAGAAAGGAGCGCAGAGAATCTTACTGACTTTGCTGGCAGCACCTCCACTACCGCAGGTTTTCCGTTTTTCTCTGAAGCAATCTCCTTAGGCTCACCCCGTGGATGCTGTGGGATGTATATTGGTTCCCCATCGACGGGACCAGTAGCGCGCAGGCGCAAGTACCCGTAGCGCCTTGCCAAGTCAACCGTCGAGTCATTTGTGAGCACACGCAGCAGGGCATAGTCTAGTTCTGGGTTCTCGGTGACCACAGATACTTGCGTGGCCTCCACAATGCCAACATTCTCAATAAACCCTACCTCCCGACAACATTTAGTCTCGGCCATGAAACCCACTACGGCCTCAACGATACGGTTGGTCCTGTCTGGCGAAGAAGTATAATCGCGCCATGAGCTGGCAGTATTCGACAGGACATTAGGGCTGGCTGCCTTCTTCTTTTTCTCGTGCTGAGCAAGATTACCGTTTTGCTCGATTGCGGCCGCGTCCTTAATGCAGTGATGGCTAGTGATCAAGTAATTGCCCCGTCCGACGAGCCAACCCGTGCAGAATACCCAGCTTTCTACTTCCACAGACGTATAGGGTGCTTGCTCCTGCTCATTGCGAATCATCAACCGCGCCACTGCACGGGCTTTCGAGTACATTTTGGGTTGCGTCTTGCGGTAGCAAACGGCTTCTTTGGCTTCATCGACAGCTCCTACCGTGCTCTCGGTGTCAACTCCTGTTGGAAGCCGAAAGTCAAGACTGTAGCTAATGGCCACATACGAGTCCAAAACTACTACGGGTTTTTCGCGCAGACTGACGACGAATGGCAGCATTAGTGTTGGAATACTCGGGATATACTCGACAACCACGGCGTCACCTAGTATCAAGAGCGGGTGTGTCCGCAGCAGCAGCGAATGAGGTGACTTGTCAAACGCCACGTTCTCAGTGAGTACGCTGGCGTTTGCAGTGGTAATGGTGATCGACGAGACTCTGTTGGGATCACGCACTACGACCTTGTCTCCTGGAAACAAATTCAAGTTTTTGATGTTTACAGCAATGGAAGCTGCACCAGGTTCGACAATCTGAAGCGCCTGAGGACGTCGTTTGTCACTGCGGAAAAGGCTCCAGCGCTCTTCTTCAAGTGGATGCAGAACGACAACTGCGTCGGCAGTCTGCCAGTGCTGGGGCACCCCAGCCAGTTGACGGGCACACGAGCTCACGTTTACATATACACGCACCGGAAGTGAAAGCAGTGACAACAGCAGCAAGGCCCACGCATAGATCACCATTCGACTGCGGGGGCACGGAAACTCGGGTCTTGCGCGTTAGGCTTCCTGTTTATAAGTGACACGGTTGTGTTTTTCTCGTGGGACAGGAGAGATCGGCCAACTGTCACTTGAACGCTTTAACCGCTTGAATTCATGCTGACTTCGTCGACCTTGATTTAGCGCATTCGGTATTTGCAATACAATCATCGAAACAGCCGACCCACACGATGAGTATCGCGTCTTGAAGCTGCTATTCACACGTCAGCGCGTCGATGCCAAATGAACCCACTATTTTGTACTGCTTCCAGATTAAAGACCGAGACACCATCGGTACTTGTTGCGTAGGCCGTTGCAAGAGATTGGAAATCAGACACACACTCGCAGACTTTCAGAACTTCGATACAATGGCCCACTTTTTTTGGTGGAGCCAAATGTGCCTCACCCTATTACTTCGTCCACACGTGGCTCGATCTGCGTTCTCCTTTGGACGTCATTTGAAACCTTCTGTGCATCTTGTGGTCTACTTTGTCCCGTGCTAAGTCGCTGTAAAAAGACGACGCAGCGATCTCTTCTCTCGACTGCGAACGCAAATCCATCAGACCTGAGCCCCGATGTCCTACCATAATAGCAATGCCTAGTGAACGCCAGGACGTACTAATGCATGAAGACGAGTTTGTTAACACTTATCAAGCACTCCACTTTTTTCTTTGAGATTAAACAGAAGATTGGCGTGCAGAGCCACCGAATGAAAACTACCGAGCCGAATCGCTGCACCGTCACAGATTAGAGTCCGTTCATAGTCGGTCGTGTCTTCGAATCGTTGTGCTATTTGTGATAGAAGACACGAGATCGCTATAAAGCTGTAAGCAGTTGGCAGTTGCTGCGCTAGATGACGCCAACTTCCCGTACGCATAAATTCGATTGCACGAGCAGCTGCCCATAGCGACAATCTGCTCAGTCTACGCTGATGTCATCCTTTCGTGACAGGAGATGCCAGCATCTAAGCTACGTGCCTATAGTCAATCATTAGTCATGCTATGTGGTGTCTAGTGATGGTGTTTTGCTTGCTAAATGTAATGGTCATTGAGCCGACGCGTTGCATTTCGATTACGTATACATGTACCAGCGCTCTTTACATCCACATCATCAACACCCTCTTACTCTACGTTTATCATGCATGTGATTGATAGTGCTGCTGTGACAATGTCCAGCAGCTTCACTTTTTCCTGCTAGGTCTGATTTAGACCGAACTCAGGCGAAAAGATACCGAGAAATCTTGGACGGACGCTTGCTTATTTTAATCCAGTGAGCATAGTTTAATGTAGATCTATACCATTCGATACACAAGTGAAAAGAACTCGCAAAGCTTTGATAAGAATTTGGTATGGGTTGCTGCTTGTCTCGAGAGGACGACCGATTTAATAGCGGCAGTGAGGCGCTGCTGCCCAAGAGCAGGAACGGCAGCAAACGAGTGTACGTCATGTGCTTGTTATAGAAGCAGCTAAAAGTCTTGTCGACTAACTCACTGTGTCATGTTGTCTGCTGCAGAGAAAACTCGGTAGACGTGGATCTCGCAAAGAAAGAGGGTGCAAACGGCAGTTATAAGTCACCATCAGCTGTCGTTGCGGCTGGAGATAGCACGTCCAAGGTGTCAATCAAGCCTCAGCTGCCCAAGAAAGCTGTGGAGAGCGTCGACCTGCTGGGACTTAACGACAAAGAATCGACGCCACTAGCTGCACCAGCAATGGCTCCGTCGATACTCAAGCCGACATCAACTGTAGAAACTATGCCGACTCCGTCAAGGCCGACGCAACTTCCGTCGTAAGAGGCCAAATCGCTACAAAGCCAGTGGCTAAAGCGCCATCGTCATCAAAGTCGACGAAATCTTCGGTACCGAAGCGAGCGGAATCGTCATCATCTAAGGAGACAAAGACGTCACCTATGACCTCACCAGAGAAGCCAATGGAGACACAAAATGAAGAATTGATGGTGTCGGCGTTTACTTCCGTGTCTGTTAAGGCAGAAGATGTTGACAACAACAACATCGCAAACGATGATAATGACGATGACAACAATAACGACAATGAAAACGATGACGAAGGTGACAACGACGGAAAAGCCATGGACAAAGCAAACGATTTCAAGCCAAAGAAAAACATTTCATCGAAGAAGTCCAAGAAGAAACGAAAGGTGAGTTGTCAATTACTGAACGTGTTGTCAAAGTCTGAGCTCCGCCTTCTCACATCATGGTTTAAATATACGTCTCTGGCTTGTAGAAAGGAAAGAAATAAACGCCATCGCTACTTCAGCTATCAGCCCGTCAACATTGCATTGCGGCGCTCTTTATTCGCGATACAGACACTTGAAAGCAGTTGGTCAGTTGTCAAAGCTTAAGAATCAAGCGGAACAGACCATCTCAATTAAGCTGCTCTTGCTAATAAAACAATGAGCAAATTAGCCGAGAGACAAACGTAAGCGCTTTTTGCGCTTCTGCAAGAAGATTTCGTCCGCTTCATGTGTGCTTCCAGGTGTGGCAACTGACGTGTCTCGTGTCGGTCGTGCAGGACTGATACCACGGTTCACATTTTCAGAGTGCTGCCGCTCAGCCATCTGCATCAGGTCGCTGGCGATCTCACCCAGCTCCTTGTTATCCCGCTGCAGCTTTTCCTTTTCTTGCTGTAAACACGCGATCTCCTCGCTCTGAGCATGGAGCTGGCTGCGAAGCTGAGCATCCGCCTTTTGCACTTGTTCTGCTTTACTCCGAAGTACAGCCTTTTCGGTCTCTAGCTGTGTGATCTTGACCTGCAATTCATGCTCGTGTGTTACCACACTTTCTTGGTCGCGCAATGCCTTGAGCTCCTTCTCAAGCTTCTGCAGTTGCTCCTGTGCCATCTTCTCCGTACCCTGCGCGATTGCTACTTTTTCGCGAAGCTCCGCCATTTCCTGTTCATGTTGCTCAATAAGCTCTCGCTGGACGTGCTCCACTGACGCTGTGCGCTGCTCGTCTTTGCTGGCAAAGCGATGCTGCAAGTGCGCAACGGACTGGGCCAGTACCGTCTCAGTCTTTTGGTACCTAGCAACTTGCCCATCCAACTTCTCCACTCGTTCTTGAGCCAGCGCCAGCGTCTGCTGCTGCTTTTCAAAAGCTTCTTGAAGCTTCTGCCGAATGGCCTTCTCCACGTCCAACGTCACCAGCAGCTTCTCCAGCTGCTGGTCCTTGCGCATACCACACAATGTCTGCTTGTGCTCCAGTAGTACGGCATCCAACCGCATCTGAAGAGCTTCAAACTGACTCACTACCGCATCCCGTTCCCGTTTGAGGTCTGCAACTTCGTAGCGCCGCTCCACAAGCTCTTTCCTGACTACCAGCAGCTCCGCATCCGCCGCTAGCATAGCCTCGTGTTTGGCCTGAGCAAGTTTAACCTTCACCTGAGCCGCCGAGAACCTCACGGCGAATTCATCGTCACTTTGCTTTGTTATCTCGGGATACGGTCGTTGGCATCCGACGTCTTCCGTATTGTCCTTCGGTAATTGTACAGCGGATGTAGCAGCTTTCACGTCATCTTCAACGTCCATTGAAACTTTCACGTCATCTTCAGCGTCTATTGACACATCATTAGAAAGAAAACAATCGGCTTTTTCTCCAACCTGCTTCTCCATTCATCGGCTTGCGTCTAGCGCCACAAAATCGAAAGCGTTAATTCTATTCTGTCAAATCTTGTTATAACAACCACAGATATGTATGTACACATTTACGGTACTACACCACACTGACCATTTTGCTACCAGTATGATGTATCGAAGGAGCGTAACGTCCCGTATGCTGTCCATGGGCTTCGTGGGTAGTCTGCTGCCTTTGCTGACAGCAGCAGGTATTTGTTGTGTCGGTGATCGACGAGATGCCCTAAACGCGCCACCGAAAACTATCGAAGACGTCGTCTTCTGACTGCATGTCGACCACCGCATTGCTGATCTTTCGAGGTCTTGGGGCGGGTCTGGCCTGGACAATCAGCGTGGACGGCTACGCATTAGCCAGCATGACAGACGATCAGTGGAAGCAGCGCATAGCGAAGCGGCCAGGATCAAGTATTGCGCGTGAAGCGGCGAAGTCACTCGCACGTCTCAGTTTGCGCAACATGCTCGGCTTTGCCAGCTTCCTGGGCATCTTTGGCGGCATGAGCTGCGCAATGGAGAAGGTACGAGGCAAGAAAGACCCACTGAACCCGTTCGTAGGTGGCTTCACAGCCGGTATGGTGATTCTGCCGGGAGAGCTGCGCAACCCTCGCACGCTCGTGACGGCGGCGTTTCTTTGCGGCTCAGCTTCGATGGCGCTACACCACTTCGTACCAAGGGAAACAACAAAAACCACTGTTTCGCAGTGAAGATGCGGTAGCTACGAGTATAGAGACGAAGTATCTGCTGGACTACGACTAAATTACGTTATCGACGCTATATACCTTGGCTTTTAAGGTGACCTTTGTTCGCGTACTAAGTGGCATCGATGCTATCGAGGCATCCATCTGGAAAACTACTGAATGGTCCACTCGAGTGTCCCTTCCCTGTTAATCTCTATAAATGGCGTAGATCCTGCTTTTCGACCGGCCTGATGGCGCGAAACCTCGCCACCCGCTAGCATCTTTTACTTTTGTAGTCGATGGGAATGGCAAAAAGGTTAACTTGGGACCGTCAGGCTCTTCATCGTTGAGCGACGGCCTGTCTCGAGTGCTGGCGCATATAGGTAGTCATCGCCTGCATTATATTTAGCACGCAAGTTCTCGTCACTACAAGACCATCGAGTGACGGCGCATGGAAATATTTTTCTTCTTTATGTTGTACGACAGATCTCACGGGGCCAAGGAAGCAGCATTGCGTGACGTTTTAAAGGTAATTGATTTTAGCTGCACATACCTCTATTCAACGATCTTTATACTGTGAATGGGACGAGGGAGGGGTATAGCTGAAGCGTATTTTCAGTCAAATACGTTATTCGCCCTGATAAATTGTCTGGGCTTACTTGCTGTTGCTAGCGCTCGGGCACTGAGGCTGCAGATACGAACGAGTGATACATATCATACACGGGGATTTCTACGATGCAACAGGAAATGTTGATACATTTTACACCATGAAGCTAAAGAGCTTAAATTGAAACCGTCTGACAAGCATGTTGGTGTGAACATTCATCCCCCATCTTGCCTATAACACACCCTTAGTCTACGTGCTTTGTTTGCGTATGAAGTGTAGGAAAGTTGCGATTTGGAACTTTGTTGCACTTGTGTGCGAAGAGGTAGAAGTAGAAGTGAATGTATTAAAATGTCATCTTTGTTCGCTAACACTGCAATATAACATGCACTGCAGCTTGACCATAACATGATTGCGTCCGTCTCTCCTCTTGTCTTGTGAGCCGTCGCCATGTCGCCCAACAGGTCATGTCGCTGCCTCGTCCCGCCACCTGTTCGGCACCGTCTTATCAAAACACCTGTTACGACGTCTGTCACAGTCGTCGCCTTGTCTCACCATCTGTCACCGTCGTCGCCTCGCTTCACCATCTGTCAAGTCGTTTGTGGACTCGACCAATCAGGTGTCACTGTCACATGGTATAGCAGTTGAACCTGCAACACAACAATGACTGACAAGACGTTTCTAAACAGGCATTTCTAACACTCCTCCTCGGTGTCAGCCTAAGTGGTCTTCAAATCGAACATTTCACGTAGTTCTTTCATTCTTGGCGCCGACAATGACTTCGTCAAAATGTCTGCTATCATGGCTTGGGACTTGACAAACCTTGGTGTAATGGGGCACCCTCCGACTATACTGATTACAGTATAGTCTACTTTTTTTTTCTGATTACAGTGAAAGCAGGTGCCTCAAAACCTCACGTACACGTGAGCAGAGGAAGCTTATCAACTAAACAAACGCTTAGTTGAGAGGGAAAAGAAAATCTGTATTTAATATAGTTAACTATCTAATAAAACTAATCTGTTATAACCTATGTTCACTATATTAAACTACAACTATGTATGTTGACGACTTGCCCTCCACTCATTGCGCGCGTCCATCGGTCATTGGTCAGCGCGTTGGTTGATATGATGGCCCATATCAACCAATGAGAGGGCATCTCCAACTTCAAGGAGATCTAGGGACAATATTATAAGAAAAGGTAATATTGTCAAAATATTATTAAATATAATAATTTTTTTATTGACACTTTATATAAGTGTCAATATTATGTAACGGGCTCACCCCGTTACAATCCTTGTCATCTTCAACAGTACAAGCCGATGCATTTACATTCTTGGAGTCACATCCGTAAAATTTGGGATCGTTCTATAAATTCCTACACTGTGATTAATGCAGTCGTTACTAGGAAGTTTATAATTATTTCAGTCGCTTCATTAAAAATTTCGCAATTGATTCCTAAAAGCTGTATGAGGATTTATTCCAGACGCCATAATGATCTGGATGGCCGGGGCATGCCAGTGGACGGTCTACCATGTTTAAGTGCTGGTCGATGTTAAATATTTACCTGAACGGTCCGTCTTCTGTAATCGCGGTTTGATTTGAACCGTGTGCAGATTGAATCACTTCAAAGCTAATATGTTCACCTTGCAGATTGAGGTTTAGTAATTAATGTTAGGTCACTTCGCAATTTGCACTTTAGTGGCAAACGTCATAATGAGTTACGGAAAGCGAAAATCCACGAGATCTGTCACTTAGAGTCCTAAACTGTAATCTGATGATGGTAAATATCATGGCCTATATCCAGGGGTGGCAGGCATAGGTTTAAATGTTTTAGGTTTGGGTAGGTTATAGAATATAATTTTTTTAAATTGCGCCTAAAGTAGGTTTTGATTAAGTGACAGAACATTAGATCTAGCCAAAAAAATTATCGCAAGATTATTGGTTCAATTTACAGTGCTACCTAACGCCAACTTTAAAATACTTCTAACCCGATATGACCACAAACGAAGAAAACAGCTCAATTGTTACCATCTTGAAGGAAGGTTCTCATTCCGGAAGGAAACAACAACACTAATTATTATAAGAGAGGCCGTGCCTTGAGTGATTTCTAGTCGGTCTTAACGGATGTTGTAGAGCCCTTAAAATCAGAAGTATGATACTTACAAGCACTGTAAGACAATTGTTTCGATTTACAAGAATTCGACAGAATCTCGCTTGCATACATCTTGTTTTCACTAAACATCTCGCAGGGGCCAATTGGAATTAATATGCGTCAGAGAGAATCTTCTCATCGACTTACGAGGTCAGCGATAATAAGATCATACTGTTTACGATCTTCCATTTGTTTGATCGATAGATGGGCCACCCGAGATTAATCCTTTTGTCTTCCCTGTCATCAATTGTGAAGATAGCCAAAAAATAAGTCAACGTGCGCAATCTAGGTTTCTTTCAGATTTTATTTAGGTTTTGTTCAAACCTGATATAAATCTAAATAAACCTAGACTGCAGATCATAAAATCTACTTTTTGCTTTCAAAATGCAAATTATGCCTATCATCGGCTAGTAAGCAGGGCATCTCCAATTTGAACGAGATACAACGACAATATTATTTCGTAAGATAATATTGTTGAATATCATCCGCTAAGACAATAATTACATTAGCATCTGACGGTACTGACAACAATGCCTACCCCATTAAAGAAGCTCTGTAGTCGACATAATGCAGTTTCTAGCAGCAGTTGTCACTATCCAGAATGACTTCAGCTTTCTTGTCGGACATGATGATGTCGATGGGAGTGCGGCTTTGTTTGAGTGTCCTGCAGCTGTTAACCTGTTGAAAAGCTCGATAATTGAAAGGTATAAACCAAAGTGAGTGTATTGATTGTTAGATAAACATATCTGCAAAGTTGTCGATACAGATTGAAGTGACAAAGTACCAAAAGCAAACAAGAGTACGACTGGAAGCAAACTGTTTGCAGCACGACACTTACATTTCTCTATATCGACTAGTTTCTGTCAATACGGACGACTAAAAATGACAATTAGCCAGTGTAACGAAGTACGTTGTAATTCTAAGAGTAGACCGTGTTCTCCATGACACCCGCAGCTGCTCATTCGCAAGCGGCAAGCTGGCGCTGGATCATAAGCCTGTATGTCAGGTACTTATCGCGAGCATTGCATGGGATGATGCTCACTGTTGACCCTGCTTCATCAAGGTATATTTTTCGGGACCGTGCTACACATCAAGCACGACTGGGGACCCTGATAGAAGCGATGGGGTGAGCGCCGCGCCCACGGCAGCATCTGCGACCATCTGCAGCTGCAGCTGCGAGGGCTGAGTCAAACACCGCAGTAGAAATCGTTGCAACAGTTCGTTGCGCACAAGGGCGTTGCCCGTACCGATTATCCTGTTTGCAAAATACAACCGGTCAACAATACGACAGCACGTGATAGTTGTGGAGAAAAGTCGCAGGGTTAAACGTACGGTTGCACGAGCACCAGCGGCTGCAACTCTTTGGGGATCATGGCAAAGAGATTGTCTATAAGACCACGTGACAGCGCGGCACTGATGTCGCCCATACTCCAGTTATTCATCCGCAAGTTTGAAATGCTACCAGTGACACTAGGATCCACGCGCTCACCGTTAAGCGTCGGCACGAATGTCAGATCGGTATCCTGGCGCTGCAGCCCCATCGCAATTAGTCGGGCGTAAACCTCATCTTCGCTTTGCACCACTTGCTCTTCATTACTCTCGCTACGAGTTGGAGCAACTCCCATTTCTTCTGCCCATTGTTGCCATTGATGCACTAGCCAGGCAAATATGTTGCCACTGCACATGCAAACTAGATGATTAAAAAGAGCAGCAGATAGAGGAATGGAATGGTAGCAGCAAACGAGACGGACCCGGATAGTGAGGCTGCCACGCCTAAGAAGCGATCTTTGATAAGGAATGGCCGTACTTCAAAACTTGTGTTGCCCATATTATCGATAGGATTCGAGGCATCTTCGGAGCAAGAAGACAATTTTGCAACGTCTGCACTAGACAGTACAATAGCCATTTGAGCTGACGTGCCGATATTCACCACTATTACAACCACAAGCAATCACGCACAGGTGTGCAGCACAGTGTCAGTCACGAAGTAGCCGCCTTAATCAATAAACAGCAACGTACACGTTATGTTGGAGTCACTAGTAGGAGATGACTGGCGCTGCGCCAGAGCGGCATAGACGGAGCACGGATGGTCACCCATCGGCACATACACTGGTATCTTGTCGGGCAACCCGAACCCAGAGAAACCTGGAGAGCTGTGACCGATGCAAGTGCCCGGCTTCTTTACAGCTGGCAGCATTGATGAGGGAATTCGTAGCGCACGCAGCACTCTAGGGTCCCAAGTCTGCGTTTGCAAGTTGAGACCGCCCCAACTGTGAGCATCAGTGGTGTCCATGAAGGTTTCGCTTGGAAGCGTGTGACCACACAATATAAAAGCCACTAGATCCTGGATCGTACCGCAAGCGTCCATGCCTACTAATGCGCGCGGAGAGTATTCTAATGTATGGGCGAATGAGGCTAGTCCGTAGCCAGCAGCTATCCGGCTGGGCATTGAAGCAAAATCGCCCATAGCTTTAATCCGAGCGATCTTTTCCCGACAGCTATCCAAAAACGAAGGTGTACAGCGCTGGTCTTGCCACGTAATAAGCTCGCTCCACACAGGTTCATAAGAAGAGCCATCCTCTTCAAGCATCCCATTTTCTCCCACTGACAATAAGCGTTCTGCTACCTCGTGTACGGCACGACTGCACCACCATACGATTCCGTGCATTTGACCGCAGATACCAACAGACGTGACTCGCCGCCTTGCCATCTCCGGCAGCATTTTTGCGGCTCGTTGCACTGCCAACAACACCTGGTTCACATTAAGTACGCCAATTTTATTCTTCACCGCTTCTTCTCCTGGTCTAGTCGGTACAATCACATCACTGAGAGATACGTTGGCCACAGCAGCAACTTGACCGCCATCTACCTTTACTAGAACGCACTTGATGGCGGTAGTACCAATATCCAGTCCAAAAAGTAACGGAGTATCATCTTCCACGTCATACTCGTTTGAATTATCGTTAGCGTTGTGCACCGCATCTTTAGTGGGGTGGGATGTCCTTTCAATAGAGCTTGTCACAGTCCCATTCGAATGCACTGCAGAAGTGTTCGTACTTTCCACTGCTATTGTAGCCGCCATCGCTTGGGGCCGCATCGCGCCGACACCTATATGTGTAAAACCGTGCCTCTCGACAAATCTCTGGCAAAGTCTTGTGAGTGCAGCTTGTCCACTCTCGGCGCTCTTCTTGTCTGCCAAATAGCCTTCCAGCCACTGACTATGATTCTGTCTAATGTATCCAATCATATGCGATGACGTCATCTCGCGTCCTTGTCGTCTTCCATTCTCTAAAAACTCAGTCAATTGCCGTCCAAATGGTAAAATCTCGCGACGTCCTGAGCGTCCAATGGACTTCCGCGAATCTGGACCTTCAAAGCTGTTAATCTTCTCGGCGTCGTCCAGCCAGTGCCGCAGCGTGCGACGTGGCACGCCCTCCATCCTGCAGACCTCCCGCACACCTGCGACTTGCGCTAACGCGATGAGTTCGCGCTTTTTCTTGACCGAGTAATTCGAGCGCTGCTGGATGCGACGTCCAGTCGAGTCTACGCTAGCTTCAATAGGATCTCCTGCTGCTTCTGAAGGTACAATCGAAGTACCAGTAGATAGATTAAGGTTTACGCTCGCTTGATCACTTGCGATTGACGCCGGAGATGTAGAAATACTTGGACTACGCGTTGCCGTAGATGCCGCCTCCATGCTCACTTCAAGTGGCCAACAGCAACGATGATGAAAAGTGATTGGGCTCAGTTGATTGGTAGAAATACCACAAGCGGGATTGCTTATACAGTACTGATTTTGTGTACAGTTAGGCTGTATGTAAGGTATATTCACATTCACGGGGTCAATGTTCTCTTATTGATAGCAACATATCATAGCACACCGCAAGTTTCCGTACATACATTTGCATATTTTTTTGTGACGTGACGCTATTTGCAAGTGCTATGCTATTGTAACCGTAGCCCTTTACGACGGCTACAATAGCATAGCACATGAGAGGTAGTCGGTAGCGGTGTAATAAAAGATATTGTTGTTGTCTTTTGTGCTATTTGTCTCGCTATTATAATGCCCTATCTAATCTTGCTATCAACCAGCCAGCCATCGTTCCGTTTTGATCAATCGCTGAAACAATATCCCTACCAACTCGAAGTCGTCAGCCGTTACTTTAATCGTTTTTGCAGCAATGCCTATTCCTAACATGCCCTTCTTGTTCTTAAATGTGCCTAAACGCTACTTTCTCTGCTGTTGGCTTGAGTCTTTTTGCTTGTCGGCGCAAACTGCTTCGACTTTTTCCGTTGATTTAGCGGCACCCTGTTTTTTCACATAAGGGAATTCTTGGCACGGTCAACTCCAGCAGGTCCTGGCTTAATATTTTAATATTTCAGTATCAGATTGAGGTCTTCTGTCGCTTGCGCCATTTGGCACTAATGGAAGACAAAAATGCGCAGGCCGATTACCACTAGCTAGCACCTGGTGCTACAAACAATAAAGCTCTTCAGGAACTAGCGAGCACCTGGACAAACAGAAGTTCAAGCTCTGAGGTACTAGTACACTCGTGGCCAGATTGGCTGCTGTAAGTTCTGCCCACTTGTTAAAGGACTGGCGAGCAGCTGAAAAGCACCCTGGACTTCATGCTAGAAATGCCTGTTTAGAAACGTCTTGTCAGTCATTGTTGTGTTGAAGGTTCAACTGCTATACCATGTGACAGTGACAACTGATTGGTCGAGTCCACAAACGACTTGACAGATGGTGAAGCGAGGCGACGACGGTGACAGATGGTGAGACAAGGCGACGACTGTGACAGACGTCGTAACAGGTGTTTTGATAAGACGGTGCCGAACAGGTGGCGGGACGAGGCAGCGACATGACCTGTTGGGCGACATGGCGACGGCTCACAAGACAAGAGGAGAGACGGACGCAATCATGTTATGGTCAAGTTGCAGTGCATGTTATATTGCAGTGTTAGCGAACAAAGATAACATTTTAATATATTCAGTAGACGGGCACTTCTACGAAGTTGCCTCTAACTACGAGCACACACCTTATGCACAAGCGAGGAAGCGGTTAGACCGTCTTACCTTCGCGTGCGAGGGTGGTTGGGAGGTTGGTCGACTGCTTAAGCAGTCTTACCACCAGTTGCCTCTCGCTTAAGCGAGAGTGCAACGAACTTCTTAACAAGAAGGCACTGACGTCACGCAGAAGCTTTTCAGCTTCTCGTGCGTGGTGCGTATGTTTAAGCAAATTCAAGACTGAGCTATATTTAATTAATTATAACTAAATATATACTTAACTATTGATTGGCTATATATATATAGATCGGATACGCGACTCTATAGAAGCGTATCCTGTCGCATGATCTTAAATCTAGATTTAAGATCGCAACTGACGTCCTTCTGAGACGTCGTGATGCCTAGCTTCAACTAGCGTCATCCCTTCTCATGTGAATCCATAAATGGATATCACATTCACGAGGGTGGATCACATTTGTGTATCGCACCCAAGTGACAGGCCACAAGTAAACATGGATACTTTTAGACCAAACATTAAGTGTGTTACTTAATGTTTACGTGTAACTAGATGCCCTGTTACACCATCCCCCGTTTTAGAACGAATTTTACATTTTGTAAAACATCGCCTAGGAGACAGAGAGACTTGCGAGCCGTTATAAACGCGCCGTTTTAGTCTACTCAACTCTCATGCCACCGAAACGTGGTAAGGCTGATGGGTCACCTGCAAAGGCACCCATGTAGTCCAGCACTAAGCGCACGCGCCGCGATTTATCGCAGTCGTCGCAAAGTGCTTCAGGCACTGAGGTGAATCTTCCATCTCACGATAATGTGGATGAAGATCCATCTCTCATTGTAGACTACAATGAGACTACGCCATTGCCATCACCCAAAAGTGGCGATGAGCATAGTGCATTGATGGGACATATGTCCCCATCATTTGAGGCACCCGTCCTTGAGGAAGCATCTATGCTTCCTACAAGCGAAGGTAAAACCCCGTCGTCTGCGCCTACGAGCGCAGCGACTAAGACTGAGCGCGCTACTTCGAAAGGAGTAGTCGCGACTCAGTCAGATGTAACTTCTCAGGCTGATGTCTTGACAATCCATAATGGAGAGTCAGACTCAGGTGAGTGTGAGCTTAAAGCTCTCCACCAAGTACACCTTCGGCCTCACTAGCCCGCCGTCGCGAGGGCGGCTACGTGAGTGGTGGCTTGCCACCAATGCCACCTCCATCTGAGTGGATGCACTCAGATGGGTCTAGCGCATCGCTTTTGCAGCGTGCCACTATAGACGCTCATAAGTTCTATAGCGTCTTTCCTTTGTGGAAAAAGCAGGGCAAAGCACTTGGTCGTGCTTTCCCAATTCCATTCGTGCTGCGTTCTAACGAAACAGCCGACGACTATGAAGCTGAACTTCGGAGCCGTGTTACCTTGCATGAAAATGCAATTAAACAACGGTCGCAGCGAATCAGCTTCGCCATGAAGCGTGCGCATGAAATCTTGGGTGGTAAGCGACCCCCAATTAATTCTCGCCACGCTTCTTCTGCTAACCCCTTCCGGACCTAGCAGAAAGAAGACAGCTGGTGTTGCTTCACATAAGCAGTCACCAGCCCAGGCACTTCAACGCGCAAAGCGTCCACAGGCTCCCACGAGTCAAAGCTCGTTAGGTAACCCTTCCACTGGACAAGGATTTGGAGCTTTCGCTTCAAAACCGGTGGGCCAACAGCCTTCCAACAAGAAAGCGCGTATTCCCTTCCGTGTCCACCAACACAGGTGGCGCCCGATAGGACTGGCGATTACGCCCACCTAATCGCGGCTGCCTACCCTGCTGCTGTTCAGTCGCAGGCTGAGTCTGCTGCGCTAAAGAGGCAGGTAGGTGGCAGATCTCGAGAGTCAAGTCTCGCGACTGACCTCGGATCTGCGCGATGTGAGGGCGAGGGATCGTCAGGGGTATGACCGCCTGAAGCCCCGCTTGGACATCTTAGAGCGACTGGTGATGAGAGACCCGCGTCAAGCGCGGAATCCTCCTCGATCACCGAGTTCTCTATCGCCTCGGTCGTATACGGGGAGCCTCTCGGCTTCCTCGTCGCCTGATCGGTCGCGACACTCGACTCACAGTCGACGTCACCATCGGTCTCGTTAGACCGATGTGGATATGTAATCTTTTCTGGATCAACATATCGTTTCAGACGACCCACGTAAAATACGGGGTGCGTCTTCATATACGGTGGGAGAGTGAGCCTATAATTTAGGTCTCCAACTTCTTCAACCACTGTAAAGGGCCCAATGAATCGGGGCAATAGCTTAGTAGTACCACCAGGTAGTACAGAAATTGCATGTTTAGGTAGGGTAGCAGTACTTAATAGCACTTTGTCCCCACACTATCGTGTTCATTGTTTTTGCGACCATGCTGGTCTTCATATTGTTTTTGTTTGTCCTGTGCGCTTGCCATCGCGTCACGTACTTTACGTGTGGTGGCTAATCGCTCATCCACAAAGCGCTGAGCTTCGCTCACGCTGTTAGCATCCAGCTCGCCTATGACGCCTCCAAGAGGTCGTGCATGGGTCGACGCTGTTGATAACACTATAGTGTCATCATCAAGGAGCGCTAACATTTCTTGCCGTGCCTCCTCTGTGACACCTATAGGTGACGTGACCACTGCTAAATTAGCAGTGTCACTAGGGCAACCTTGGCTCTTTTTGGCGTTTGCACCGAGCGAAGTGAGGGGCCCTCCCCCACTAAGACTCGGGCTGCGTACAAACGAGACTGGCGCTCGAGGATGATGCAGTCCGTTAATGTAAAACGGTGTTTCACCCGTACTGACGTGAACACTATTATTAATAGCGAACTCCACGAATGTCAATTGCTTCCTCCATTCTTTAGGAGTCTCTACTGTTCGAAACACATCCGCCACGACTCGATTGGCCCGTTCTGTTTGGCAATCGGTCTGGTGATGATCAGTGGTAGACATGTGGAGCTTGCTACCCAGCAGCTCGAACACATGTCGCCAAAAACCCGACGTAAAACGCGGATCCCGGTCCGATACTATGGACTCGGGCATCCCGTGTAGTCGATACACGTGATCCAGGAACAAGAGGGCAGCCTCTTTTCCTGAGATCTTGGTGCTACATGGTGCCAAATGCCTCATCTTGCTCAGTCTGTCTACAAAGACGACGAGCCCCGTCCTGCCTTTATGGTCAGGCGGTAAGCCAAACATGAAGTCCAAACTGACCGACTTCCAACATTCAGTTGGAATCGGCAGTGGCTTCAGTGGCGCACTGTTCGAAGGTGCAGGCTTTATGCGCTGACACTCTTCGCAAGAGCGAATATAGTTGGCCACCCACCGATATAGGTGGGGCCACCAAAATTCCTCTGACACCCGTAAGATTGTCTTTTCACGGCCCAGATGCCCACTAGATGGCGCATCATGGCACTCGTGAAGTATCATCAGCTTGAGATCTGTGTCATGAGGGACATAGATTCTCAAAGGATCACAGGGTGACTGTTGATGCCATAACAGGCCATCACTGTAACTAAAGCGATTTAGTTTCGCTTTGAGGTGCGACGGAAGGGTAACCTTTCGTCCACCAAAATCATCCACAGCAGGCGACAATGTTCGTCCTGACCGTAACACTCCTTGATATCGGAGGCCATTGAGCTCGTCACATGGTAGGCCTTCATGGCTGCCAATGTT